ACAATGGACATTGTCTCAAAGCAGCTTTACAGAATATAAGAAACAGAAAAACATGCAAACAAACAAAACATGCAACAGTCCTAGATGTTAGACAAATTATCCCTAGTGAGCGAGCCTGAGGCGACTGTGGCGACTGTGGAAAGGAAAAACTCCCTTAGATGATATGAGGAAGAAACCTTGAGAGGAACCAGACTCAAAAGGGAACCCATCCTCATCTGGGTGACACTGGAGAGTGTGACAGAACAATGTCCTTTCTGCATTTATGTATAGTCATGTAGCGTTTTATGTGTATATTGATTTGTAGGTTGGTATCTTCCTCAAAGTCCACATAGTGTTGGCAGCGTTGCTTTAAATGCCCAAATCCTCACGAGGCAGAAACCGGCTGGAGCTGGTCCATCTCTGGATGCCTCAGGATCCTCGTAGGGTTGGCCTCTGTCTACTGGAGCTGGCACAATCTCTGTGTGCCTCGGGATGGGTAGAAGAAGGGAAACAAGTAGAAAGGAATTAGCGTAGCTGCTGTTCATAATATTAGCAAGCACTAAATCAATGTATGTATTAAGTGAATGCTTGGCTAAAGATATATGTCTTTAATCTATGCTTGAACTGGGAGACTGTGTCTGAGCCCCGAACACTGTCAGGAAGGCTATTCCAAAGTTTAGGAGCTAAATACAAAAACGTTCTACCCCCTTTTGTAGACTTTGATATTCTGGGAACTACCAGAAGTCCGAAGTTTTGAGATCTTAAGGCGCGAGGTGGATTGTGATGTGTTAGAAGACTGGCTAGATACATGGGAGCTAAGCCATTTAGAGCCTTGTACGTAAGTAGTGCTAGTTTATAATCAATTCTAAACTTAACAGGTAGCCAGTGCAAGGATGATAGTATTGGGGTTATGTGATCATCTTTTCTTGACCTAGTAAGAACTCTGGCTGCTGCATTCTGGACTAACTGTAGCTTGTTTATTGAAGACGCAGGACAACCACCTAGCAATGCATTACAATAGTCCAGTCTGGAGGTCATGAATGCATGAACTAGCTTTTCTGCATCAGATACAGATAAAATGTTCCTAAGGTGGAAGAAGGCTGTTTTAGTAATATTGGAAATATGATTTTCAAAAGACAAGCTGCTGTCTAATATTACGCCCAGGTCTTTCACTGTCCAGCTAGTAGTAATAGTACGTCCTTCTAAATGCAAGCTGAATTGTGAGAGCTCTTGTGTACTGGTTTTTGGACCAATAAGTAATATTTCTGTCTTATCAGGATTTAGTAAAAGAAAATTATCAGTCATCCAATCTTTAATATCTTTAACACACTCAGTTAATCTAGACAATTTATTTATTTCATCTGGTTTTGATGAGATGTATAACCGGGTATCGTCAGCATAACAATGGAAACTAATCCCATGTCTTCTAATGATGTTACCCAAGGGAAGCATGTAAATTGAGAACAGCAGAGGTCCTAAAACTGATCCTTGTGGAACCCCATATTTCACTGGCATTACACTGGATAGTTCTCCATTTAAATCTACAAAATGGTATCGATCAGACAGGTAGGACCTAAACCATTTTAATGCCTGTCCCTGAATGCCTATGTAAAGCTTGAAATTAGTTAAAAATGTCTCGATTCACAATGAATTGTTTTATACTTGGTTTATTATAATAGGATATACTAGTTAAATAATCAATCTAGCCATGGGGGTCACAATACAGTGACTTCTGTGCCGGTCCCAAGCCCGGATAAATAGAGAGGGTTGTGTCAGGAAGGGCATCCGGCGTAAAACTTTGCCAAATTTAATCATGCGAATCGTCAGTAGTCTGAATTTCATACCGGATCGGTCGAGGCCCGGGTTAACAACGACCGCCATTGGCGCCGTTGACCTACAGGGCGCCGGTGGAAATTGGGCTACTGTTGGTCGAAGAAGTAGAGGAGGGATGAGAGTGCGTAGACAGAGAGAGAAGAGGAAAGGTAAGAGTGTAGGACTGAGAATAGGAACTCTGACTGTTGGTACTATGACAGGGAAAGGTAGAGAGCTGGCTGATATGATGGAGAGAAGGAAGGTGGATATACTGTGTGTACAGGAGACCAGGTGGAAGGGTAGCAAGGCTCATAGTATAGGAGCAGGATTCAAGCTGTTTTATTATGGTGTGGATAGTAAGAGAAATGGGGTAGGTGTGGTCTTGAAGGAGGAGATTGTGAGGAATGTTCTGGAGGTGAAGAGAGTGTCAGACAGGGTGATGAGTCTGAAGTTAGAGATTAAAGGGGTGGTGTTGAATGTTGTTAGTGGTTATGCCCCACAGGTAGGTTGTGAGTTAGAGGAGAAAGAGAGATTCTGGAGTGAATTAGATGAGGTGATAGCAGATTTTAATGGACGTGTTGGTGAGGGGAACACAGGTGATTAGGAGGTGATGGGCAAGTTTGGAGTTAAGGAAAGGAACCTTGAAGGACAGATGGTAGTGGATTTTGCTAAGAGGATGGACATGGCTGTGGTTAACACTTATTTTCAGAAGAGGGAGGAGCATAGGGATGTGCAGCAAGTTAGAGTTATTAAGGATAGAGATGGAAGGGTGCTCACAAGTGAGGAGAGTGTACAGAGGAGATGGAAGGAGTACTTTGAAGAGCTGATGAATGAGGAAAATGAGAGGGAAAAAAGAGTAGAAGGGGTGACCTCTGTGGAACAGAAAGTAGATAAGATTAGAAAGGATGAAGTCAGGAAGGCTTTG